CCTTAAAATGGCCGCTATTCGGCTATTGTTAATCGGATCATGAAAAAAATGCATGTGCATATGTCCCATATAATGTGTGATGTATGAGTGAAGTTTGAACTTAATCGGTCCATGCATGTTCGAGATACAGGTGATCACGGACGCACGCACGGACGCACACAGGGCAAAACACAAGTCCCCGTTTTCGGACTACGTCCGAAACACGGGACTAACAAACTTATTGAATCCGCTGACATTGACCAGAAGAGTGGCTTGGCTTCTTGAATAACAGTAGTAGCGAAAAAACTTTCCGGTATTTGAATGAAATCTGTCAGAAATGTCACAAAGGTAAACTTACACAGTACTACCATCACATGCTTGCGTATTACAAGAGCCAACTGTGGATGGCTTTGTCTGTCCAGCACAGAAACTTTCAATGACAGCTGTACCCGAAGTAGAATCAATGCAAGTCACAGTGCGTGTCTGGGTACCTCCACCACATGATGCTGAACACTATAGACAAAATAAAATTTGGTTATGCATTGAATTGAAGTGACTAGTAACAATATTCATGCAATGATCATAAAACAGCAGACCTAATTTGCCCAGAATGTCATTTATTATTACCAAGATTGTGTTGACACACTAAACAAATTAGTGACTTACTCCTGCCCAGTTCCCTGATTGGTATACATAAGTAGGACAAGGGTTGAGTCCTGGACAAGCTTGCTGCGTAGCTGGCTTTGTTTGGCCTAAATTAGTACACATAGAATCAGCTACAATACCATTTGATACAGTGTCATAACACGAGACAGTCCTGGTCTGTATTCCAGAGCCACACGTCACTGGACACTGAAAAAGATGCAATAGTTAAGCATCAATATTTCAGCGTTTCCACATGGCTAGTCTCTTTTTGTAATAATACATTTAACTTTTTAAGTGACTTAATTGTGGTGTATAGTGTCAGTGATAGAGACTAGTTTCAGTTTCTCAGACAAAAGGTTGCCATTCCATGGTTTTTATAACTCTCGGTGGTATTCGCTAATTAGAAATGGCATCTGATGTCGAGTCGCAGAAATTGGAACCAAGTCTAAAAGTGATAGTGATTCATTTTATCAGTAATCATTGTGACTGTGTAATACAGGCAGTGATTTATCAGTAATCTAAGAGATGAATAAAGTAATGGATTTAAATAGCATTAAATTGTACAGAAGACACTAATACCTTGTGTCTAATCACCATACACACTGACCAGTATGGTCTCCAGAAAAAAATGTACGGGATCTCGTACAGTGGACGAGTAAATTATTCTTAACTGTCTAAAAAGTATTTGGAATTTGTTATGAAAGTGAGAAGGCACACAATAGATGTTATTTTAATCAGAATGCTACACATTCCTAAAAGATAGTTACACTAGCACAATATACGCATGTTCTAACACCAAAAATTGGTGGGGGCACCCACATGCGACAACAAGCAAAGATGAACTTACAGCATCCCACTCATCAGTAACAAACTCATAACTAGAACAAGATGGAAGATCTGGGCATGACTGCGTATTCTCAGGAAGTGTCATGCCTAAATTAAGACAAACTGAATTGTCAACTAGTTCATTTGTCGTCAAGTTTATGCAGTTTACTGTCCTTGTCTGTGTCCCTGATCCACACGTCACTGGGCACTAAAATAAAAGCAACGGAATGAAATACAAATAAGCAACATGACCATTCAATTTTTCTGTCATTTCAGCAGCTCTTGAGTTTTCTTAAACCAAAAATTCATATTTCAGGGTTCAGAGCCTTCAACATTAAACATCTATGGCTATAAGCCGCTGTTGTCATTTAGGCATGCCCAATTTGGCTAGTGTTCCCCAGAATAGTCACAGTCTGTTAAATTTGAATGAAGATTCGGGAACACAAAAGGGGGCGTATATATGTGAACTGTATATTTTTATTGTTATTATCTTTTCTAAGGTCTATGTTTTAACGAAACATAACATTTTTTCTACTTGTACAAATAAAGTGGTTAGGTCGAAGTATTTGGGGGCATTGAGGCTGAGTCTTCTACTAGCATTTACCCATGAAAATTGTCTCTATCCTGACCAAGCAACGGCAGACGCTTCCTTGTTTCAATTTGTTTCAATTCAAATTTGATCCGGGTTGCGTGTAAATGCATTCCAAGTGTGAGGGACGTCTCGTGAACATGCGGACTTATCACTCAACATGCACTTTATTTCTTTATTATATACTATGTATTATGGAATTGTGTGCTAGTTAACACTTGGGTTGTGGCAAATTTAACATCTCTCCAAGGTGTGACTACTTTTGAAACCTGCCATTGTCTTCATTTAAACGGCGGCGCGCGACACAAGAATTCTGTGACCCTTTGGTGAACATGCACCCGTTTTTACTAACTACAATTATAATTCTATGATTCTTTAATAGCTGACCACGGGTTCATACTAATTTTACCGAAAGAAAAAACAATTTTCACATGTTATGCGGAGTTTGCTGGCTG